ATTATTAATTGGAAGCAGGGGAAGAAATCGAATTATACAGAAAAATGTTTTTTGTTTTAAATGAAGAGGATTGCAATTAAACTGCGTAATAAAGGTGTACTAGTACTAATATAGCTTAGATTGATTGAGATAAAATCTAATGTATAAGCAATGTATTTTAATATTGTTATTATATTGTATTAGGCTGTATTAATCTAAATAAGTAAATTCATAGCTGAAGCTATCTCAGATGGATATTCAAAAAGACCGTTTTATCCATTATTTGAGCATTAATCTTTATAACTCGACATATCCACATTTACCTAATTCGGTTCTTTATTAAACTTTGCATGCTAGCACAAATCTTTATTTTCATTCAATAAAACGCAGTTTTGAAGTAAATAGTTTAAAACATTAATAATGATATGTATATATAAACCTATCCCCTCAAAGTTTTTTTTATATTCTTAAAATTAAGCAAGAAATTAAAACTATGAGAAATTATAATCAAATTTACTATTCAATAAGCAATAAGCTAAGAAGGGTCTCATTAACTACATATCGTAGAATAGGCTACGGCTTAATATTTTTATTAATAACTATCATATTAACAGTAGCTTTAATCCCTTCTAAACCACCACCTCCTATAATATTGCCACCTGATATTATTCTAATTAAACCCACTAATAATTTTAATTATACTATAGAATTTATGATAGCTCAAGAAGAGCAATTGCTAAAACTAATAGACTCCAATAGACGTTTGGAACATGACCTTGACCTTACACCTTTACCTTCAATATTAAATAGAGATGTTCAAGCTTATTTACCTAGTAAAAACCCTTCCCTAGCCCCTATGTTTTTAGATGCCGAATCTCAATATCATTTCAATAACTCAACAAAATTGGCAGAATTTGCAAGACTTCACGATAAATATTGGATAACATACCTTAAACTTGTAGATTTAATACCCTCCCAAAGACATCAATATAATCACCACAAAGTTAAGAATATTTTAAAAACTTCATTATTCTCAGATTCTAGACTTGCTGGTCCCTTTGG